GAGATAACACTCTTAGTCACTGTAGTGTTCCTTTCCCCTTTTTCTGTTTGCCTGAATGCTTTGTTCCTTTGCACAGAGGTATTTACACAGCTTTTGTCAAATTACAATTAATTAAGGCTGGCTGTTACTAAATAAAAAGTCATTTACTATCTAGCTGCTGCAGGTAAGGTGACATGATGTGTAACAGAAAAAAAAACAAAAGACAAGAAAAAGCTCTGAAAGGTTGTCCTCTCCCTGCTCTTGGTTAGGAATCATCATTTCTAGGAAGGTGGACAGCAGCTGAACAAACCTTGTCGTTGTCTTACACTAATCCTAAACAAAGTGAGAATAACATGTGTAAGATATAAAAGGGAATAACTCAGAAGAAACCAGCAGCCCTGATATTATTCATCTGTACCATGACAAGCAGGGAAACTGATTTATTTTGAAGCTAAATTCCCTGTTCTCCTGAACACAGTTCATATTAAAGACCCTTTGACCACAGCATCTGTTTGCATTGTAATCCACATCTAAAAGAGTCAACAGAAATATTGACTCATAGCTGGTTCTAGCTTAGGCCTGCGAGTTAAGCTCCCACAACACACTTAAGCTTTTGCACAAAGAGCTACAAGAACACTCCTCACCTTTTCCTTTCGTGTTACAATCAATCATCCAGCACTCCAAACAAAGGTCAGGTCCTCCCTCAAATGCAAAAAATACCTTCCCTTTGTCTCTCAAACAACTTTAAATAACAATGCCTAAAACTTCCAGGAATCATTAGCATTTATTTATGCACAAATGGGAAATAATAAGTCTAGCCAAGGTGAGATTAATCTGGCAGTTTCAGCCTGGTGAAATGCCTGTCCTCACCACAAAAGCCATCGAGGAACTTGGCACTAACTTGCTCTTTGTACTTTTTACCTGTGAAACCAAAGACTGAAGTGGCAGGGACTCAGCTGCCTGGCACTGGAAAAACACAAGCAGAACTCCTTTTACTCTGGCCATGTAAAATTTCTAAATTTTTTTCTCTTAGATAATTTCCTTAGTGCTTGCAGCTGCTGCCTGCAAAAGCAGAAGCAACAGGGAAGAGTACAGAAGCTTAATTTCAGCATCATGGGTTTTGTATTGACTCAAAACACTAGACTGAAGGAAAATGCTGAAAATCATAGAAACTGCTCGAGTGTACACCAGGATTTAAGCCAATTCTTGCATTTAAACCTGTAAGAATAACATAATGGCTCAAAATCACTCCTGCTCTGGCTGACCCTGGAGATGCAGCAGATGACTCTGGATTTGTACTTTTTGTTAATGACTTGGTCCAGAAATACCACCTTTGTTTCTACCAGAATTAGGCTGCTCTTGGAGATTGCCACAGGGATATATTTCCTTACAGATGCAGTACAGAGCATATAAGGGACAGACAGAAGTTGGAGAAGGAGTATTGAGAAATAGCCCTGTCAAGAAAGTCTTGTTTTCCAGATTATATCAAATAACTTCACTGAGGGGGGGTGTGTGTGTGTATGCATATGGAAACACATACTATACACACACAAATATGTGGATACACACACACACAAGCACATCAGGATTTGGGCGACACGTAATTTTCACATCCAATACTTTCTTTCTCTCCTATAATTAAATGTGCAGTTTTCTTTCACCAAAATAACATGGCACCAGTTTGATTTTAATATATCTTTAAGCCATGTACAAACAGTGAGGTTCTTTGCATGAACGTTCAGCATTTAGCTGCCACATGCCCATGGATATTCAGCAAATAAAGGAATATGAAGGCATAAGTGATACAACCAATAATTCTGCAGTACCAGATTTTTGCTGTAAACAGAATAATCAAATTTTATGCCAACAAAGACAGTGATAATTTAAATTTTTATCTGTCAAATCCAATAATGCTTTGCTGGATTGGGTTGTTTTATCCTGTCAAGGTCAGAATGTTTAGCAACAGCTAACGGGGATGGTTCCTGGCTCCCAGTTTTCAAAGCTCATGGAGATAGCATGTCTCAGTTACAGCCAAAATGCTGCAGAAAAGCCTCTGTATCCAGACACCGGCTAAGTCATAGCAAGTGCACAAAGGAAGGGTTTTTCAGCTTCCAGGGTTCACTTTGGTTGCATGATTTAGAGGCTTTTTTTGTCTGCCTTTAATAATGCCACCTTTGTAGTACAAAAATACACGACTGGGAGAAGCTGGCAGCTCCCTCTGGCCTGCAGCTCCCCCATTCCTTCTCTTTGCATGGGGAAAAAATCCCCAATAACCAAACCAGGAAGCTGCCCCTGCTGCTGTGACATCTGACGTGATAATGCTGCAGAACCAGGCTACTCCCTGACCTGCTTACAGGCACCATGGCAATTCCATCCATGCCCATTTTTCCCTAGCTGAGGGTGTTGTGTCCTGTTTGAATGCATGAAAAACCACTGGAACACGCTGTCTGAATAACCAGGGGTGATTCAAGAACTGTCAGAGTCCTCTTCAAACCACCAAGAAAATGAGGGTTTGTCCTCCCTCAGGCCTGAGTGTTGGAATTATTCAGCATTTAATGATGAGTTGGGGGATGAGTTTGTGGGAATGAGATAAGGGATGAAAGTAACCTTCTAAAGGAGAAAATAGGACAAGCCTATGGGGCACTCCAAGTACTCTTTAAATAAAAGAAACTGGGATCTGATTTCTCTGTAATTCCTTCTCTAATTCCTCTGAATTAGCCCGTGGGAACTTCTCAGCCCTCACAAAACAAATTGAGCTCCCCACAAGTCAGACCCGAGGAGCAGACATCAGACTTGCTGGTGAGGCCCCTTCTGGCAGAAGACCTACCTCAAGCCTATTTGAATCACCCATTAGTAAAGAAATCATCTTCAAAAAAAAGTCAGCTCAACCTAAATTCCATCAGCCCTGAAAGTAATAAGCCATAAACCAGTGAAAATACTAATCTAGGAAATAGACAAACATTGTGTGTAAAGCAAACTCTGGATTTTCAAAGGTGTTTGTTGACATTACATTTGGTTAAGTAGCTATGTGATGGCACTTTCCCTGAGACTGTTGGTCTAGACACCTCTGTAAACCTTAATTCACAGGAGTCAAATCTGCCTTTGGCTGACAAGCTGCAAAATGATCTGGTCCTTTCACACCACTCAGCATCTTACCCAGTGGAAGTGATTAGGGAAGAATCAGGAATTTCTAGAGCTGAGGATTTCCATCTCTGATGAGGATTCCCACCTCCATTCCCACTTAAGGCAAATTAGGTGGAAGGAGGAGCTATTCCTTGGGAGAAAATGATGATCAGGGTACCTTATGCCATGTTCCAGCTGCTTTTAGTTACCCCCAGAGGCTGGAGGGGGCACAGTTCCATATCCTGAGGAGCCCAGGGATTGTTTGGAACCTTGGCTAAGCACCTTTATTCCCCAGCATATTTATTTACTGGATGCAGGGTGGGGAAAAAAAGGGTCCCACCCACAGAATTACTGTTACAATCAAAGGCCAGGGTGTGGGGTTGCCTCTTGCTCAGCTCTGATGTGAAAATAAAGGGTTTAAATTCTTCCTTAGCCACTGAGTCATGTGAGAAAAAGTTCAGTCAGTCAGGGGCTGGAGACCTTTAACCATGACATTTCAGGAATTAAGGGAAAAGAATACTGCATGAGGTGAAGTGCCTTATAAACACAGTCCTCTAAAAGACAGTTCAACATTTAATACCCCTGAAAATTCACAGGCCAGATGTGGAATTTGACATTCTGATTTAAAGATTCAGACATAAGTTTTTTCACATGAAGATGGTTTTTTGGTTTTTTTTCTTCTTTTTTGTAAAAAGTAGAACATGGTTTACAGAAAATTGGATGAGCAGGTCCACAGTGAATAACTTAATGAGGTGCTGTGTAACAGAGCTGCACGGAGCCGTTAGCTAGAAATGTGCACTTTGCTGGCTTTAGCTCTAATTAGTTTTAATTCATCTGCATATATATTAGCTGCTTCATGCACAAACATGCAGTGACACGCACAAGCTGGAGCTTTAACATTCCGGCTGGAAACAGAAATGGAAGCACCATATGCTAAACCGGTGCTGAGGACAAAATTTAAAAAAATACATATTTTTTAATATTTAGCCCTGCTCTCTCTGGAACCCTGCTCTCTCATGTCTTGTTGCAGGGAGAAGTGGAGCTGAGAGAATTCCTCAAGAAGTTTCATTTCCATTCCTGCCCTCGGATATTGGATTCCTGACATGGTCGGAGTGGAGAGTGCAGCAAATCCCAGAATTAGTGAGAGCTCCCCAGCATGTGGGCTGGCCGGAGGCAGCGTGCTGCAGCCATGCCCCTGGACTGCCTGCACTCGCATTGCCATGGCAACCCTGGCTTTGGGGGGAATTCAGGCTATCCCGGCTTTCCCACGTTAGGGATTTCACAGCCAAGAAGCTGTGAATAAATTCTGCTTACGCTGAGCAGAACATAAATTAAACAATGTGCGATGTGAGGCACAGACCAGTGCTGCACCCTTTTAATTCACATTTTCTCGGCAATTTCTGTTCAAAATTTGGCAATATGCCTGGCAGCGACAGAAAGCACCTCTCAGGAGATGACTGGGAGGGAAACAAAGATAAGATTTAGCTCGGTTGTTCACATACAGACATTAATGGCAAGAACAGTTTTATAGTTTCATTTTTATGTCAAACCTTTCTCACACTTTATATGCTCACTGTCAATAAAATCTAGTACCAGGTTTGCATACAGAAATCACCAGCTTCTGTAAAGAAATTTAAACTTTGTACTTCCCTCTTGCCACAGGTGGTGTGTATGCTTGCAGAAAAGCTGCTACAACCCTTTTAGAAGTTAGATAAATAAAAATAAAAATAATAAAAATAAAAATAAAAATTCACAATAAAAACTGCTCAGATTAAATTCTGCAAATAATTTTTTACAAGTTAATATTCCTGCTGCGATCTGGGATTAATGGGATTAGCAGAATTAAGAAAAAGAGAAGAAATAATATTAGAAATTGTGAGGATTTTTAATGGCTAGATGGTTGCTTTCTGTAGAAATTCTCCAAAGCCAGGCTCACCTGTAAATGAAACCTACAGAAAATCCCATGTGGATGTTTTTTATATCTCCCATGACAATGATCCAGTTTTATGTCTGTGCAACTTCACGCAGCACCAGCGCCTGCTCTGAAGGATTGAACATTACGTAGTAAATAAAAAATACCAGTCTGGCAGCTTTTTGAAGCACTCAGCAGAGATACAAAGTTGACATTAAGCTGCTTTCCGTAGCAAAGGCACTTTTTTATTACATTGTATGGAGAGCCTCAAGACCTCCCTTGGAGTTGTTATTTTTTATCGAGTACAGAACACACACAAACCCCTCCACTCTGCTACAAGAGCTGGTTACTGCGAGAGCTGCCTGCAGTTCTGTGACCTGCACCAACACAGCACAGGAAACCAAAGGAAAGGAGAGCTCAGCTGCCATCCAGGCAGCAACTGGACAAGCACACAGAGCACTTGGAAAAGGCTTTCAGCTTCCAAACCCATCAGGTCAGGGAAACACTGAATTCCAACTCAACTAGGATGGCCAGCTCCAGGGGTTTTAATGGTGTCTGTTACATCATGTTGCACAAGAACGAGCCTGTTGTTTTCACTTCAGCCTGCTTTAAGAGAGGCATGTGTAATGCTTTCAGGAATGAGGCAGGAGCAGGAATGGTTCTGTGGACGGGACTATTTAATGATTAAGAGTTGGTTCCACGCAGATTCCCACGAGAGAGCTGCATGACTCTGCCTTTCCCAGCAGCTGAGTGAAGCCCTGCTTCCTTCTCTCCCTGAACCTACAGCACCCATTGCAACACACCCCTGTGAAGCAATCCTCAGCTGCGACAGTTTTTATTGAAACACAGATTCTCCAAAAGATCCTGAATCTGCGACAGTTTTTATTGAAACACAGATTCTCCAAAAGATCCTCAATCTGCGAGTTTTTATTGAAACACAGATTCTCCAAAAGATCCTCAATCTGCGAGTTTTTATTGAAACACAGATTCTCCAAAAGATCCTGAATCTCTCCTCACAACTCCTTCCCCTACCCTCAGCTCCCCACTATGATTCCTACTTTTATGGTAGAAACAGTGAGCTAATTTCTCTCAATTCCACCAGAGCACCAAAACACTGGCAGAGAAAAGCAATAAATCAAAGAGGAAAGACAACCTAGAAAAATATTTGTGCTAGAACACATTTTTAAGGATACAGGTGATTCATGCAGAAGAAGGGCACAAGGCATGATTGGAAATAAATTTGAATTGAAAAATACTCAGCCAAAAAGCCTGAATTAAGAACATGCTGAGCGCCAGAGAGAGCTCAGAGACACAGTCTGTTATTAAGCTTTCTTCATTAAACAATTAAATGAAGCAATTCGATTTCAGAAAGGAGATAATTATTTTAGGAATGAAACAAAGGCTGGAGGAAATGCAGCTGCCTGAGCGTGGAGAATGGAGAAAAGGAAACCAAAGCATTGTTTTTGAAATGTTCACAATAACCAATTTGTGTAAGAGGATTTTTAATTAATAGTCTACAAAACTTCTTTTAACTCAGTAATAAAAATAATGCAATTCAAAAAAAGATAACCACCTCAAAATGTGATTATAATTGATATCTTCAAAAATCATAGGTAACAGCAAGCAAGTGCTGAAAGGGACTGAGAAATGACATGGAAAAACAATCCTCCAAGATGAGAATTCTCACGAGATGGCACTTTTAACTCTCCACATGTTTTGATGTGCTGTTTTCTCAAGGCTGTGAGGAAAGATTACTCTCAGGAGACCAAAAGAAAAAAGGTTTGAGTAATTCCTCACAGGCAGATACTCTTGCAGGGCATCCTAAAGGATTTGATAAAATGGGCAATTAAGTTATTTGTCTTACTCACTCACAGCTTTAAGTGCAGGCTGAGACTCCACAGAGCACCCGACCCTCTGTCAATTCGTTCTGAGCACGTTCTCTAAAAGCCTGACCAAGCTTAGACTAAACCAGAAGCCAGGCTTTTAATTAATTATAGAACAAATATAATGTCCTTAGCACAGCACTTCTCCTAGCAGAGGAATAGAGAAGGAAGCCTGTCTCCCAGGCACACTGAGACTCGAGTTTGGGCTCCTGAGGGCTGGCAGGAAATCTTTTTTTGCTTACACCTCCCTGAGTGACAGCATTCAAACGCTGCTGCTGCTGGCAAACTGCAGCCTGTTTAGCACTTCTGAGAAGCTCAATGACAAAACACTTTGCTTTTTGTCTTTAATGTCCCAAGAAGGGCACAGGTAACACAATGCCTGTTTAGCACCACTCCTTAATTAAGTGTGTCCTTAATATCCACTTTCTCCCAGTCAGAGATCTTACTGCAGACAGCAATCCCATCAAACAAGAAAAAAAACCCATTCCATTTATTTTGGTTTTTTAAAGAATTATTTTAAATTAAATGTACACAGAATTATACAATATAAAATTTTAATTCAAGTTATAAAAAATATGCATATGAGTTTAAGGTGTTTAATTTGAAAAGATTGTCAACTGGATCAGAAAATATTCCCTTAAAAACTGCACTCTTTATCCCTCCTCCCAATAAAAAGATTTTGTTCCCTTCCTTTCAGTTGATTTTGCTTTCGCATAAACAACATTTTAATATCTCATAACAATAATCTTAATTGGCCCTAAGGTATGGCACAGATCGATGCAGTTTAGGTCACTGCTTTCAGACACAGTAAAAGGATGTATAAAATCCTTAGAGAAACAAGAGGTTTTACCTCCTGAGGCAGAATATTTCTTGTAGCTCATGAGTGCTTGGCTACAACCAACAGGTTATTCCAACTGGTTCCTAAAATATCCTGGCTGGATGCAGTGGGCAGTATTCCTATTCCACATAAATCTCCTCGGTGACACAGAAGACTCATTAAAAGTGGATAAGAAAAGCACTTCAGCAGAGATTGGACTTGGAGCTGTTTGAGCACTCACATAACATCCCGCTCACTTCCACTCCTCACCTCCCAGGGATTGCTCAGAGGGAGGAAGGAAGAGCTGTTGGAGCAAACCTTTTCTTTAGACACTGCAGAATGGATACTCCTGATGTCTAGGAAACAAAAATCTCCAAAACAACTGAGCTTGTCATTCAGCTGAAGCTCAGCATCTCCTCCAGGGAGCCTGGAATTGACAACTGATACAAGTAAAGGGAATAAGAACGCTGAGAACTCTGCCTGCCCAAAAGGCAGACAGGTGGCAACTCCTTTGCTTGGATACAACCAGTAATACTAAACATACCAAACTGGAAAGATACTGCAAATCAGCACACAATGGTTTGGGCAGGGGGGACCAAAAAGATCATCCAGTTCCAACTCCTTCCACTAGACCAGGTTGCTGCAAGTCCCATCCAGCCTGGCCTTGAGAACTTCTAGGAATGTGGACAGGAATCATTGAAGGGGAAAAACCTCTAACTGAAATGATTTTTCTATCACGTGAACTTACAGCAGTTTCCACTTACTACAATAAAGTATTCAAGCCTCACTGTTTGAGCAAGAGGCACCACATGCAATGAAAACTTGAAAATCATCAGTGTCATGATGTTTCTGCAGAGCAGTGACAAGTTATATACTAACACTTGGTCTTCACAGCAATGGCACCACATAAAAACAACTTGGAAAGAGCTGAAGTCCCACAGGTGCAGCAGCAATAAAACCTCTTCCAGTGTCTAGCCAGGCACCTGGGAGATGTTTGCAGAAACACAGGATCCCACGGCTGTTCAAGCAGTAATGATGTCATGGGATTCTTCCCCCTGAGGCCTCTACAGCCCTGCATGTCCTAGACTGTGCAACTGTGCAATTTCTCCAGCTGCAGGTGAGGTGTGAAGGCCACAGACTGAAGGCTGTTCCAGATGAAAGCTGAGAACTGCATGTGACACAGGCTCACGAATCCTGCTCCCTCTGTGAGTGGCTCACACCTTCCAGCACACACGAGCAGCCTCTGTGACAGAGGCCACAGGAGGATGCCCAGCACAGAGCCCCAAAGGAAAGAGGCTGCTGTAAACATCTGTGTGATCTTGGATAGTTTCAGGAGAACTTCAGGATGCTGAAGGCACTTGGTGCAGACATTTGACTTCGATTTCAAATCCAGGCACGTTTTTTCCAAGAAAGCCACCACAATATTTAATGTCCCTCTTGCACTGCAGTCTGAGGTTACAGTTGTCTTAATATACTTCAATGGAGAGCAAATATGTTTGACAAATTACCTAAGATACTATTTTTTGCTACTCCAAAAGAAAAGCCAGCACCCAGCTGAAAACTTTACTCCTTCTCCCTTTCACACTGTATTTATAACAGGCCATAAAAAAAAAACCAACGACCCCATGAAATTGTAAATTCCAGTTGTCTCAGAAGCGTCCCATGGATGTATTTCCAGTGGAGATGCACCTGAAAAGTGCCTGCAGCAAAGCAAATCTTTTCAGGTGAGTGGCAGAACAAAAGCGTGAAAATTTCTTCTATTAAAATATCTTGAAATAAGCATCAAACTACAGAGTGCTCTCTGAAAGGAATCTGTTTCCATGTCAATTTTCACCTGAGCACAAATTAACTTATTAAGGCACATAAATAAATGGCATGATAAGCAGCCAGTGATAATTATTTTGGTCCAGAAGAAAAGAAGGCACTCTGACTTTTCTCATTCATAGTTTTACACTGTTTTCATCTGGTTCCACTGTTCACCTGGGAGATCTTCTCTTCAACCCTGTCTGCCACCAATTTCAGGTTGCAGTCCTGGAGGGCTTTTATTAAGTCAGCCACCTTTGCATCCTTCCCCCTCCACTTCTGCCACTCCCGAAGTGCCTGAAAAACCTCTTCCTCCAAATCAAATCGGTAGGCTGCCTCTACCTTATCCAGCTTCACCTCTGGCAGCCCAAGTTCTCGCATCAGCTTCTTCCACTCTCTCCCAACATGGGCACGGATGACATCAAAGGCTGCCTTCAGGAGTCCTGAAACAGCAGAAACAGATCAAGTTAGCCACGCATTTATAAATTTATTCCTTATAAATGCATGGAACTCAAGAAAACGTTTGGAAGTTGTTGGTTTTATTTCAGCAAAATGCCAGTACTCCTGTTGCACTGTACACACTGAGAGTTCTACAGAAGCCACAGGACAGACTTGGAATCCCAAAAGATAAAAGAAAAGTAAGATAAAAAAGAGGGGGGGGGGAATTTCCACCCCGAAAGACGTTTGTGTACACATTTACTGGGGTTGCTGGGGAGCGATACAACTATATTAAAAAACCTCTCTCTGTATAAGAACCCACGTACGTTTTTCATGCTCATCCGGCTGATCATCGGGGGCACGAAGCTCTCCCTGCTCGAACTGCTCCACCAGTGACAGCAAATCGCTCCTACTGATGTGCCGCAGCAGCTCTCTCAGGAACCCCAGCTCGTCGTGCGCCACCACCTGCTGCTCCATCAGGATGCTGAAGAGCTCCAGGCCGCTCCGCACCGTCTCCAGCTTTCGCTTCCGAATTTTGTCGCGGCAGAGGAACTTCATGGCCTCGAGCTCCGCGGCCGACAGGCCCGAGGAGATGGAATGCTGCAGGCTCAGGAAGCGATCCACGGCGCCGGGGCCCGCGCCCGGCACGGGCCGCGCGTCCTGTCCCAACCCTCCGGTGAGGGAATGCATTCCTGTTTGCGCAGAGCGACTTCCCGGGAGCACGGAGGGACAGCGGACGGGGACACCGGGACGATTCCGGGACGGCACCGGCCCGAGCCGCGCCGGAACTGACGTGAGCCCGCGCCTTTCCCGCCCCGCGCCTTTCCCGCCCCGCGCCTGCCCGCCCCAAGATGGCGGCGCGCCGCCGCCCCTGAGGGGAGGGGTTGTTGTGTCGCTGCCGCCGCCGCCGCCGCCGCCTAACCGGGGCCTGGGGACCCTCTGCCCCGAACCCATCCCGAGGCGAACCGGCTTCTTTGGTGCTGCTGAATGCAGAGCGTGTGCTGGAGCTGAGCTCGGCGCGGCCGGTGTCCTGCTTCAGGAGAAGCCGCGGTGCCTCAGCGCCTCAGCCGTGGCCGGGTCACAGAATCACAGAATCAATCACAGAATCACGGAATCACAGAGTCACTTCGCTTGGGAAAAACCTCGGGGCTTATCGAGTCCAATCTGTCACCGGACACCACCACGTCAACCAGAGCATGGCACTGAGAGCCACATCCAGGCTTTTGTTAAACACTTCCAGGAACAGACTCCACCACCTCTCTGGGCAGGCCATTCCAATGTCTGATCACCCTTTCTGCGAAGGAATTCTTCCTAATATCCAGCCTAAACCTCTCCCGGTGCAGCTTAGACTATGTCTTCTTATCCTGTCACTTGTTCCCTGGAAGCAGAGCCTGGCCTTCCCTGGCTGCCCTCTCCTGCCAGGGAATTGTGCAGGGCCAGAAGATCCCAGCCAAGCCTCCTTTTCTCCAGGCTGAGCCCCTTTCCCAGCTCCCTCAGTCTCTCCCGGTACTCCCGACCCCTCCCCAGCTCCATTCCCTTCTCTGGACATGCTCCAGCCCCTCAATGGCCTTCCTGAATTGAGGATCCCAGACCAGGACACAAGACTCAAGGTGTGACCTCACCAGTCTAAGCCTGAAGTTGGGAGAACTGGAGATTTCCTGTTTAATATTGAATCATTGGACTTCTAGTGAACACCTACCCCTATAAGAGTTAATCCCAGTGTTTTTTTTTCCAAAAGGTGGAAGGAAAAGCAGCACAAGGATGAAAGGTTCAGCCTGGGGAGGTGGAGGCTCAGGGGGTTCCTTCTGGCTTGCCACAGCTCACTGAGCATGGAGACAGGAGAGGCTTGGTCTCTTTTCCCAAGGAAAAGGGGCTGGACAAGAAGAAAATCACCAGAAGAGGTTTAGATGGGATATTAGGAGACATTTCTTCACTGAAAGGTTGGACAGGCATTGGAACAGGCTGCCATGGGGAAGTCGTGGAGTCACCATCCCTGGGGAGATTTAAAAGATGTACAGATGTGGTGGACTTGGCAGTGATGGGTTAATGGCTGGACTCAATGATCTTAGCGGTCTTTTCCAACCTTAATTGTTCCATGATTCTATGATTCTATCAATGCCTTTCTCCACCAAGAGCAAGAAAGGCCCCAACAGAGCCCTGCTCCCAAAGAGATGCCATTCCCATGGCTTCCCTGCCTGACAGCTCCCAGGGAAGCAGGCTCTGCCCTCCCCGTGTGGCCCCTGCTGCCCCCAGAGACCCCCAGCCTTTCCCTGGAAGCACAGGGCATGCAGCCTGGCCTTTGTTCCTCACGAAGATTAATTGTGACACAAAGCACCTCCTGACCTTTAAAAGGCAAGAAATAGGGCAAATGTTAAGTCCCTGTATTTTAGAGGTGACCCTTACACAAGGTGGAAGGTTGTGAACTTTTCTTAAATGGGAAAGATCAAGTTCATCCCATTGTTTTGTAGGTGCCTTTTGGCTTTTCTTCTCAGAAAAGAAGAAAAGATAGTTCATGTAGATAGTTCAGAGATTTCCTTGTTCCTTCTGTGAGCACTGGCATGTTGATTCCCCAAGTTACCCCTTTCCTAAGTTGTTTCCAGCATACTTTCATTTATTATTCTTACAACACACTCACAGACCTATGTTCTCTCATCATAGAAAGGTTTCTGACTGCTAAATGGACTTAAACACTATCATCTTCCTTATCTCCATCTTCACTCTCACATTCCAACGTGAAGACCAACCCCCCAAAACATTTCTAAAACTCCCACAGGCACAAGCCCTCCTTAGATAAACCTACTAGATATTTTTGTTTATTCCCTAAATGCTGCATACTGGAGGGAATTAACTTGTTACAGGATCTAGTGGTAAAGAAAAGAGTGAGAAGAATTGCCACTGTGAATCTGAGCTGGGACAAGATGTGCCTGATTTAAGAGATGTAATTTTTTTTTTTTTGCAGCCCTGAATATACCTGGGACAAGATGTGCCTGATTTAAGAGGTGTATTTTTTTTTTTTTTTAGCCCTGAATATACTTTAAACTCAATGAAAGACATTAACAAAAAGGGTAGCATAGGAGAAATATATTTGCTCTGTGTGCATTAATTTAGGAAGCAGGAGTAAGCCTTGTAATGGTATCAGAAGTATAAAATCCAGTTAAATAAAATTTCTTTTAAATTTTGCCAGCGAAGGTGACTCTACAAAACAGCAGGGACCAAATCACATGGCGCCTGGTGGTGGCAACCAGCCAAATTCAGAGACAAATCCATGTGAGAGAAGTCCAAATCAGCACAATTTACACCTTTATTCTCTATACCCTGACATGCAATTGAAAACATAAATTTTAATCTGTTCATACAAACCTGGTGGCCAGATTCAGTGCTGAGGTACGAGGGGCGTGAAAGTGATGCTACACATTTATGTAATTCCAAAGGTGTCTAAATTAGTAGCAAATGTGAAACTGAAAGACACAAATCAATATTTAATTAAGATTCTTAAATGCTTTTAAACTCACTCCTATTGGAAGGCAGAGTGATTGAGCAGGGTCTTTTATTCTGTCTGAACCTGACTTGGATGCATCCACTGATGAAAATACCCCAAGCAATAAATTGCTTCATTCCAGTGATTTCCTTTGGAAGCAATTTGTGGGGCTTTGGCAAAGAAAGCATTAGGCGAGCCTAACAGATTGTAAGCGCTTCTGTGTCAGAATAAAACTTAATAGAAATTATTTATTGGAGTAGCTGAGATTTCAGTGGAAGTTTCCCAGAAGTTTAAGTGCTGTGAATGATCCGGTTCCTAACCAAATAATCCTCCGGTTTCCCGAGGCAAGATGAATCCTTGCAAAATACTGCAGAGGGAGCTCGAAGCCTGGGAGTGCCTCAGACTCAGCTTTGACCTCACGGTCCCTGCTGGAGGAGCAGGGCAAGGAGAGCGTGAAAAGATTAATTTCGGCAGAGCCCTCGGGGAGGTGTCAGTCACCAGGACATTCGGGCAAAACCACTCATTTGGGGACTGCAAAAATGGCAAAGTGTGGGGCTGTCCTGAGCTGTGGGTGACTGAGGTGTGTTTGTGTGGAAACTCGGCAAGATCCTTCATTATTTCCAGCCAAGGCAAGCGACATTCTGCTGGTGCAGAGAAACTGGAGTGTTGAGGAGCTGCCGTGTTTTTAAGTGAAGCAGCTTTGATAATTTCTTTAATTTCCCATGCAATTCAATAGCACATATCCCAGGTGGGATTTAAAATCCTTATCCTGACAGTTCTGACAGACAGCTTGGGCAAACACCTTGGCACAGACAGTGCTGAGGAACTGTTTCTCTTTTGAGGCCCAGGTGATTGCACACTTCTTTTAACAGTACTCTTGTCTTCCCAGGGAATTAATGACATCTCCTTTTATTTTTTTTCTGTCTTCAAGATAAGAGGAGATTTTGCATAAAAAACTCCCACCCTCTCCCTAGCAGAATTAGGCTGCAAGAGGTTTTTGCTTTGCTTGCTTGTTTTTTACTCCTACACTGAATAAACTGATTTCCATAACATTTCTTAATGTACTTATCCAATGCCTCTCACCCATTTTTTGCAAAACCCTAAAAGGCACATTTTCAGCAAAGAGAAGACTGTTTCTGTATTTTCTTTTGTGAATTAATTATCTGTAGATGTTTATTTTGTCACCCCAGCTATCACCCCTCTGTTGCTATAACATCCAGTCTAGAAAGAAGTGCTCTGGTAAAGAAACTCATTTGTGAAGAGACTGAGGACCTTAGGAGAAAATTGTCCCTGACAAAAGGGCCCATAAGAAATGTCAAATTATTGTGGGTTGAGAGAGAAAATTAGAAGCAGAGTGTGGGAAAAGTAAATAAGTACTGAAAAGAGAGTGAACTCTGGCATGACTAGGTTGTATACAGATAAAAGATCTGGCCAAGTAGCAACAACAACAAGCAATAAGTTGTTAGCAGATGCTTGAACTTCATATTGAAACAGCAGAAGTGTTGATATAATTCTGTTGATACAGTTCTGTTGTGTTATTGTTGGCAGAAGTTAGTTTAACTTTAGGGAAAGGGTAAATTGTAGACTTTTGTTTATTTGCTCCGGCTAAAAACCTCTGACTTGACTTTTTACCTATTTTTGTAATGAATTTTCATCATACCATGGAAGTATGAAATCATTCAAACAAACATTTCACATGTCAATAAAGCTGTGTGTATATATTAGCCCAGCACACCTCATTCCTCTAAACCATATTTATTACTTAAGCTCTGCAACATCAATTTTGCACTTGGAAAAACAGAAGAACAGAGAAGACAGAGAGCAAGGGTTGTTTGTAGAGGAATGTCATTGTGAAATGACAAAATGTCCCTGAATAACAGTGTATGATCATTAGATCTCTTTTGGGGCCCTTTCTATTTCTATTCAGTTCAGTTCCTGCTCTGTGACTGGCTGAGGGCAAAGCAAAGCAAGTTGAGATCCAAACTGGAAGTTGCTATTCATGCAGGGAAACAATCCAGCAGCTCTGATTGCCAGGCTTGGAAGCTAATGCTAATTAATTTCTGCAGAGTATGTATAATTTATTCTTTATTTTCCTGAGCTGCTGTATTGCCAGTTCCTAAACCAGATAAAACCATGGAAAGGTAAATGCTTATTACAATAACATTTATTTTCTGTAAATTGAGGTGGTTTTCTTCATACAATATTCCGAGCAGCTAAAAAATAAAGATAACAAAAATAATTGTTTTGCAAAAAATTGGTCCATTTTGCACCGTTTTGGAGTTTTTCCTACAAGCATGTAGTTAGTTCTGCACCAGAGGACTTCATCCTCCCACCCAAGGAAATTCTTACCCTTTCCTTACTGAGGAGCAGCACCACATTGCCTGCTGCAGAGCATTGCAGTTGAAATAATGGCAGCAGGGATTTATCCCTTTTTTATTTTTTTGGTGTCTGTGCATATTCAGCTCTTAACTCTTCTGCACCAACAGACTCTGCTTTGGACCTGGTGAAAAGTGGAAACTTTTTCCCAACTGTGTCCCTGCATCCAGCCTGCAGAGTGGCCTCTTCAAAGATGAGAAAACATCTAAATGTCTCTCAGCGGTACTGAAATTTTGCTTTAATAAATAAAAATGAGTGAGCCTGGTCACACTTACTTGATTTTTGAGTTAAACTCAGGTATTGT